TCATTGCTGGCAACCCTAGGAAGGGCAAAGGCACAGCGTGAAGAGCTGTTTCCAGCTCAGATCCACAGTCCTTGCAGGCCAGAGATGAGGGGGTTCCCTCCCTGCCAGCCTCTCTTCCACTTGTTGGAAAGCTTACAGAAGAAAAATAGGAAATGAGTTCTCTCCATCTCCAGCTGGTAGATTTGCTTGTCATCTCTGCTGAAAGTGAGGTGGCAGCAGTTGAAGCTCAATCTGCCTTGAAATCTGAAAATGGAGTGTTGTACAGACAAACCAGTGAGCAAATCTCTGCTCTGCCTGCCCCCTCATCCTTTTCTGCTTTCTAAATGACAAGGCAAGGGCAGGACCTCATCCCAAACTGGCTATGGGAGGTTTGGGCAGGGCAGATTTTACAAAGCAAAGAGCCCTGCCGGTGGAAACACCAGCCCAGGTGTTTCTGCACCTAAATCGTGTACAGTGCCAATGTTGCGATCCCTAAGCAAGTTTCAAAAGCCTGATGGTTATCACCACTGTGCACCAGTAACAAGCCACCTCGGTCTAGCTGGAGATGTGATAGTGCTTCCAGGAATGATTGTGTGTGATGTGAACTCAGCCCCTGATTCAAAATATTATGCAGAGGAATAATAAATCTTGGTTTAAAATTGCTGCCCCACTTAAGCTTTGATTAGACTCTGATGGTCTGTTCACCCTGGAGCTGCTGGTATTAATCTGCATGCTAAACCCTAATTATAAACTGCTCATGGCATTTCCAGATGATATCAAGATGTTTGGGATTAAAAGAAACCGTGATGTTGAGTTTACAGCTTAAAATGACCATCGACTACCTGGTCCCCACAGATCTAATAATGCAGCTCTGCATGGGCAGGAGAGGAGGAAAAGAGGTAGATTTGACCCAAGTGTGTAGCAGAAGTCTGTGGGTCTGTAGGAGAGAGGGCTGCCTCCAGGCTGGCAATGTGTGCACACACACGTGTAAGGCGATACACATACACATGCCCCTGTGCAGGTTCCCAGCTCAGCCTTGTTCTCATCCAGCCCTGAACAGAGCTGCAAAGAGGGTCTTGTAGCTGCAGAGCTGTCTTTGGCTCCTCAGCACTGGGGTATTGGCAGAGGAGAGCCCAGCACTGGAGATATTGCTGGGGATGGGATGGGATGGGATGGCATGGCATGGCATGGGATGGCATGGGATAGGATGGGATGCAATGGGATGCAATGGAATGCAATGGAACCATGTGGCTGCAGCCCAAAAAGGCTCAGGGGCAGAGAGCTGCCCTGATGTGATGTCTCTCATTGGCTTGCCTGTAGGGAGCTGAATTTTCTGGGAGGAAGGTCTATCTCAGGGAAACCTCTCTGCAGAGTGGCTGTCAGTAGAAGAGGAACAAACATTGTTGCAGCCTCCTGCCTGCTCAGTCACCCGTCTCAACAACAGGAGAGCAGCACTGAGGACACCTGCATGCTTCACAGGAGCTGAGCACCTTGTACAGTCAAGGCTAAGGACTGCGGAGCAGTAATAAATGGCACTGTATATTTTGGTCCTGGTATGTTCCAGCTGCTTGTCTGCTTGAGAACTTTAACCAAGGTTATGGCTGAGGGTGCTGGGAAATCCCTGCTTGGACACGTGCAAAAGTGAAGGAAACATTTCTGAAGGTTTATACCACACTTGGATAGCCCATATTATTGGAGCTGAGAGCCACAGGAACTGCCAGGTGCTGGGTTTCATGGGAAACTGCAGGAACTAGGATGGATGCTTGAGTTAGAGACTCTCCTTCTTGATATGCAACTGGGAAGAGAGGGAAGAAAATCATAGCATTTGGTTCTGCCTTACATCCTTTGAGGTGGCTACAAGGTAGGAAGACAGGTTTTTAGGCAGGGCTCTGGGTGGTGAGCATGGGACCCAACTGGGGCTATGAGAACCCAGTTGAGGTTATGAGAACTGTGGTATCCTATCACCTCTCTTTGGGTCTGCTGCCAAGGACAAACTGCCTGTGCACCAGTTTCCCCATCTGACAATAAGATCAGATGTGCTGAGTTCTCAACAGACAGCAGTGTGGCTCGTGCCTATTTATCCAGAAAAAGTGCGCGACACCTGGCCGTTGGACACTCAGAAAGGATGAAACTGAAGCGTCTGAGTTGGTAGCAAATACCTTATCTTCTTCTCCTGGAGAGGGACACAGAGGTGATTTCCTTGAGCACTCACATAAGGTGACAATCTTAAACTTTGAATCAAGTTAAATGAAATGGCTGATGAGGGCATGTTTTTATGCTCGTCCTGTGGAGGTGATCCTACTCCTATTGCAATAGCAGTGTGAGATTTGCAATAGCTCACCCAGGAGCTCAGTACATGTCCTTCATCCACTCCCCATCCTCATCTCTCTGATTGTTTGTCTTTTGCTTGTGGTTTTCTGGGGCTGCTTTGGTCTATCACAAGATGAGTCTGGTAGGGAAATGCTTCCTGCCTGTCTGATCTTATCCGGGTTATGATCCGTGCCAGGCTCTGAACACAGACATAATACAGCTGGCCAAAGTAGCCTCAGGTGGGCTCTTTGAAAGCCTGGTCTCATAGGCCACAAAAAGATGTGCCTCAAGCCCTCCAGCTGCTTGGCATCCCCAAACACAGAAGCTAAGAAGCTAAACTACAACTGGGGCTGAGCGCAACCCATTTCCTACACGTCAGAAGGTGCCTTCTCCATTCCCTCAAGCTTTGCTTGATGGCCAGTATAATAGGATGCCCTGCTACACTGAGTGTACACAGAGCACCCTTCCATCTCCTAGTGGGATTTCTTCCCATAGATGAAAGCTTCTGGAGCAGAATGCACTAATCCTGATTCTGAGCTGCTGCTATGTCTGTGTCACTCTTCTGTGGAGGATGTGTTTATGGGGAGCACTCATGGAGTACCAACATGCTTTCACTTATCATCACTCCAGGGCACCTGTTGGTACTGGGTTGGGTTCCCAAATCCTGAAGCCAAGAAACGTTTGTTTGAGGGATGCCCTTGAGCAGAGGAACATGTGAAAAATAAATGGAGATGTTTCTTTCCTTGGATATCTGTGAGAATATCAATGAAGGAAGAACCGAGAGTTGCTCTTTCACGTTCTGTGGCTTCTGCTGGGGCTGCCTGGGGGTCAGAGCAGTCTCTCCCCAGTTGTAGCAGAAATGCTGAGTCACAGCCTGAAGCAGTGATTGAGCACCTGGTGGAAAGGCAGGGCCAACCCAGGGGAGCTCAGGTGTGTGCAATGAACCTGAGTGACCAGAAGGTATGGAGTCAGGATCCATCCCTTCTGAGACCTTACTGAAGGATTGGCAGTGGAGGTGTGGGCATCTCTTGCTGGAGATCCCTGCATACCTGAGGCCTTACAAAAGTAAGCAGCTCTTTTCTTTCATTTCTGTAACTATGGCTGCTGCATTTGGTCTCATTCTCATTTGCTGTAGTCAAAGACTTTGCGACCGTGCTAATATCATCCCATTGCAGCATTACACCAGTGCAAAGGGGATGAACGTGGTTCAGGTTCCCCAGCATAGCTGTCAGGTCAGCTGCAAAACTGATTAGGAGAATGAGAAGAAAGAGGGTAAAACTGCCTGAGAGGTGCCCCTTATATTAATACCCATCCCAAAAAGGGACACACTAGTATGCAGTGAGGCACTGCTGTTGGCACAAAGATGCACATGCGGTATTTAGGTGCGAGTATACCCACACATATGTGCACAGCTTTGCCCCACTGTCTGCTGTGGGCAGCCTTGCTCTGTCCAAGCTGAGCACAACAGAGCCCTGCCACACTCATTTGGGTCTTTGAGACAGCAAAGGGTAAACTGGGACTGGAGTGGGGGCCTGAAAGCAAACTAATGATGAAACTGTCTCCTCCATGCCTGAGCCTTAATTAAATGCATGGAGAGGCTCGGGGAAGCACATCTGTTTTCAATCTGGAGCCCTTTGATGGCATCAAATGTTCTTTCCCCAGATCAGGGGGGATGGAAATTCTGGGCTGGCTGTGGCAGTGCCGATCCCATGCTGCAGCTATTGGGATGTGGGGTCTTGGGGGCCTGGTGAAGCGTGCCAGCACCCCTCTCTGCACCCACCAGGCTGCCCTGGGGCCCTGCTGTAAAGGCTGAGCACTGCCTGTCCTTCTGCTTGTCTGCGTCACCAGGACCTGCTGGGACCTTGGCTCACTGGCTGCAGAGCTCTGAGGGTCCTCCTATCTTTCAGTCTCCTTTGCTTTTTTGCTTTTTGGTCTGACCGTTGTTGGTTTTTTTTTTTTTTTTTTTTTTCTGCTTCTATTTTGCTTTTTTTTTCTTCTTTTGCTACTTCTCGCCTGCCTTTTTCCTTAGTTTTGTTGCACTTTTTCTTCCCCTCTACTTTTTTTCCCCCCTCTCTCTCCCATTCCTATTACTCTTTCAACTGTATTTCTCATTTTCACCCTTTCTTTCTGCTCCCCCAAGGGCCGTACCCACCCTTTTCCCGCTGACCATACCCCCCACCCTCGCATCCCTCTAAAGAGGACTGAGAGCCGCTTCTCCCCCGTCTTCTTCTGCCCGGTGCCCCCCGCAGCCGCCACTCATCCCGGCCGGGGGTGGGGGGCCCCGCTCCGGTGCCACGTCCCGGCAGGGCCGCCCTCCACGGGTACCCGGCGGGCCGCCCCCGCCGTTTGAAGTGCGGCCCGGAGGGGCGGAGGGAGGAGAAGGAGGGAGGGGAGGGGAGCGGAGCGGCCGGGCGGGGAGGCGGAGGGACGGGGCGCACCCGCCCTAGCCGCCCCACAGCCATCGTTCTCCTCCCGGCCGGCGGCAGCTCCCGGCGCCCCGAGCCGGCCTCTCTCTTCCCTCCGGCATGTTTTAAGGCCGGCCCTAGCCGCTCTCCTTTGGGCTTTCCTTCCAGCCGCCCCACCGCCGTCGGGTCCCCGTTCCCCCCGCCCTCGGGCCGTGCGCTTCCCCCCTCGAAGGGCCGGCGGCTGGGGGGGGAGCGGGGGCGGTGGGCGCCGGGGGGGCGAGGGCAGAAAAGCCCCCGCTCGGCACCATGGCGTCCAGCTATGCCCACGCCATGGAGAGGCAGGCCCTGCTGCCAGCCCGCCTCGACGGCCCTGCCGGCCTGGACAATTTACAAGCCAAGAAGAACTTTTCCGTGAGTCACCTGCTGGACCTGGAGGAGGCGGGAGACATGGTGGCCGCGCAGGGGGACGAGGGCGGCGGCGAGCCCGGCAGGAGCTTGTTGGAGTCCCCCGGGCTGACGAGCGGTAGCGACACTCCGCAGCAGGACAGTAAGTGCGGGGACAGCCCGCCGCCGCTTGGGGAACCGAGCAGAACCGGGGAGCGGCGCGGCAGGGTCGGGGCTGAGCGCGGGGCTGAGCGGGACGGGGTCGGGGCAGAGCATCCATCATTCCTTCCTCTCTCCCTCCGTCCATCCATCTCTCCATCCGTGCTTCCGTCCATCCATCCTTCACCCGTCTATCTGTCCATTCATCGCCCGTCCCGTCGGAGCCGGCCGCAGCTTGGAGCTCTGCGCGCAGCTCCGTGGTTCTGTGCGTGGTCGGAAAACGGAGCAGCCTCCTTGCCGAGCCTCGTTTCTCGTCGAGCCCTGCTTCTCGCCGAGCCGCCTGCTGCGGGCCCCTGCAGCCCCCAGGCGCGGGGCAGGGGATGGGGCAGGGCAGCCCGTCCTAAAGGGCCGCAGTAGGGCAGCGGGGAATGCGCACAGGCTTGCGCGGTATTTTCCAAGCGCAGCGCTGTGCTACGGGAGAGCCGCGGAGGACTGGGGTGAGGTAGGTGTGCAAGTCCCTCTGCCTTTCCCCTCCTCGTTTCGGTTAGAAATGCGCCCTGGACGCGGTTTTCGTTGTGGGTCGGGTCAGGCGGCAGCCGCTGCGGGGAGCGGAGCGCAGCCAAGGACACGGGATCCCTTCCGAGGGCTCCCGGTGAGAACTCCCCCCTCTGCCAGCGAGATCGGCCGGGCCGCCAGCGAGAGGCGAAAAGAACGAGAAAGGAAAAACGAAAATCACGGTTTTCGTTCCTTTTTGGTTTTCGGATTGTTTGTTGGGTTTTCTTTTTTTGGTTTTTTTTTTTTTTTTTTTTGCTTTGTTTTGTTTTTTTGCCTCTCGCTGGCAGCCGCCGTATATAAACGAGCGGCACCGTCACGGTGCTATCACGGACCGGGCCAGCGGCACCGCCACCCATCCCCGGCTGTAGGGAACCCTCCCCTTGTGCCCCCCCGGCCCATCGCTGACTTTCCGCTGGGTGCTCGGAGCCGGCCCGCAGCCCCCCCCCGCCGCCCCGACACGGCTTCTCTCGGCTTCCCCGGGCGGGGCTGACGAAGGGGTAACGCACCCAAAAAACGGCGTTTCCCCAACGTGAGACCCCCCCTCCCCCGCCCCCGGGCTTCACTGCGGTGACCGCTTCTGTCTGGCGGAGAGGCAGCGTCCCGGGGCGGCTTTTCCTTTGCGGCGGGGACAGGAGCGAATCGAGCGCCGCTGGAAAACCGCTTTAAAAACGTCCCTTCCTGAGAGCCGGCAAAACGCATTTCTGGCCCTAAAAGTGTGCGTTCAGTGGGTCAGGGCGGCAGCGATCGCCGTTGTCCTGTGGTTCGACTCCTGTCCTGCCAGGCTGTGGCCGGGCGGCCCCCGACATAAGCAACGAGTTCTGCCAACAGCTCTTTTTTTCCTCCTTGTTTTTGCCCCCAGTTTCGTTGATGGTATTTAACTGGGCCCCGGGTTGCTCGTGGTGCTTCCCGCTGCTGAGCTCAGCCCGGAGCAGAGAGGCTGCATTCCCCTGCTGCCCACGTTGCTCTCAGAACGTTGAACACTCCATATCCCAGTCCAGGCATATGCTGCCCATCCAGCAATGCCAAGCAGGGGGCAAACTGCCCCTCGAAGTCAATCGGGGATTCTCCAGATGCCGTAAAAGCTTGGATGCCGTTGCAGCGAATTAGGAAGTTTTAGAAGTATTTTAAAGCAAGACGAAAAGAATAGCGTGGATAAATCCTCTCTGTCTCCTTGGGCAGAGCTGTCATCTGGGCTGTGTGGCTGTTTCATTGATGTGTTTAGTAGCCCCAGTGTGATCCGTGCCTCAGTTTCCCCACCTGCAGAGTGTTCTGCTGTGTGTGCAGGAAAGGGCTGTGTGAGAGCACGGTGCAGAATGAGAGCTGGTTCAGCAGAACAGCCAACGCCGAGCTCTGTTATTCTGTGTTACTGAGGACGAGAAAGGAAAAGCTGCTTGGAGATATTGTGGGATGTCTACGGCGTACTGAAAATGTTCTTCTAATCTGGAGGAAAGTCGGCTGGCCTGCTGTTGTGTTTTGCCCCGACCTGTAGCAGCGAACCAAAGTGCTGGATGACACAGAGATAACAAAGTTTTATCCAGACTTGTGGGGCTGGGGGAACTACATTACCATTAATTCACTGTGAAGGGGTTGAGGGGAAAACATTTTTCCTATTGGAAAAGAAGGAAAACGGCATCTCTGGGAATAGCTCAGATCGTAATACGTGTGGGGAGAGCTGTCAGTGTGTGTAACAGGATTTCATCAGTGGTGCTGCAAAACCATCGCTGCGTCGAGTTCAAATTGCGCTCCGCAAACCTGAAAAGCTGGATGGTGAGCATCCATGCCATTGCCCTGCAGCTGGGAGTTGAGTTCCTCTTCACTGTAAAACCACCCGAAAGATACGGCTGCACTGTGTTTGCTAGCAAGGTTTGCATTGAGACCAACTGAAGCTGGGATGAAAACGCCATCCCAGTTCAGCAGGGAGGGCTCCCAGGGCTTCCCAGCAAAGGGACGCAGTGCCCTTTGGTGGTGGCAGGAGCCCGATGGTGGGTTCCCAGAGCTCGTGGTCCTGAGCAGGATGAGTCCTCCAAGCATGGGGCTGCGGAGCTAACAGTTTGTTTTGGAGATGGCATGTTTGCCATCTGCTTTTTTTTTTTTTTCTTCTCTTTTTTGGTTTGTTTGTTTGAGTGTGACTGTTGACGGCTCGTAAAACAGTGTGGAGAGCGAGCAGCAGAAGAAAAATTGGTTGTGCTCTCAGTTCTCTCGTGAGGAATGAATAAACCCCACTTTGATCCAGGACGTGCTCAGCTTCTGCATGTTGGGGTTATTACTGTCCCTTAATTTTTCTTGGATACAATGGGGTGGCAGCCTGGGGCTGTGCTTCTCTTCCAGCCCACGTCGGGCTGCTGGGGATGGGTTGTGCTTAGGCAGCTCGCTGGGTATGGGGATGCAGGGATGAACAAGGGCAGGAATGATTCCATCGCCAACTGGGCTCCTGCCCTCTGCCTCCGTGTCTCATTGCTGGCTGCAGGCAGGACCCTGAGTTGCAGGATGCACAGCTGCTGTTTGTGCTGTTAATCACCCCTTTTTAATTAAAGCAGGTGCAGGTGCTGCAGGAAGAGAAAATGATTTGTGTGTATGTTGAATTGTTTCTCCTTTTCTTGCTGATCTGGTGTCGTGGTGCCTCCCCACCCTGTGTAAAAAAAACAAAAAAAAAAAACCCAAAACTGTTGGGAATATTGTAAGGAGAAGAAGAGCTCTGCCATTGCTTTGTAATGGGAAGAGCGGTTCGGGCGCTGCCGAGGTATATGGGGAGAAAGCAGCAGGGCTGTGGGGTTTTTTACAAACTTGCTTTCTCTTGAAGCTCTAAAGGGCTGTTTCTTTTGTGAAATGCAGCCCTCATTCCCAGAAGCTGCTCAGACTGAGATAGGCAAAGAACGGGCTGGAGGCAGGAGCTCACCTTGCAAATGAACGAAGTGAAGCCTGAACCACGCAACAGCGCTGAGCATCCATCCACGGTGCCGCCAGGAACGAGTATCCCAAACCCAGCCCTCCCCTCCCAGCCACTCATGCAAAAACTGGGGATGGGTGCTCCTTTTGAGGCACTCCTTTGGGCTGTTTGCCTGAAAGAAACAGAGCAGTTTGCTGCTTCTTGCAAGACTGATCTTTGTGCACACCAGCAGTGCGGCGGGCATCCTAGAGCCTGCCTGCTTTGTCATTTTGCTCTCAGGCCGGTTGGTGTGTGATTATTTGGTTAAGCATTGCCTGCTGTTTGATATTTTTTCTTGCATCCTTGAATGCTGTGATTTGAAATTGGAAAAGCAATTTTTTTTTTTTTTTTTTTTTTTCATGTAGATTTCTCTTTCTTCTGACTGCCTACAAGAGACAGGAGTGCAACTCTGTCACAAGCAGAGTCCTGAAGAAAAATGAAACGAAAGCAAAGAATGGACAAAAATGGGCAATTTACTGTTTTTAACAGAGGGGTGGAAAGCTATGTGAATGTGAAGGAGGGAGCTGAGTGTGTCTGAGGGTGCTGATTGCACTGCCCTCCTTTAGATGGACAAAACCAGGCTTTTATTTGTGCGTTTCACTTTGTTTTATCGCAATCAGATTTGCTTCCTGGTTCTCATGGTCTCCTAATGTGCTGATGGCGTTTGTGTTTGCAGCCCATCCGCGAACGCTTCCAACTCCTTAATTTGAAAAAGATTTCGCTGGAAGTTTTTACTTCTTTTTGTTTTAATTCCCCCCCTTCCCCTGACGTAATGAAAATAGTGCCATGAAAATGAGATTTTGAAACATCTCGTAAAAAAGAAGCTTAAAGGTTTGATCTAAACTTCCAGCAGGCTTTGAACGAACATCAGCTTTCTGTCATCTGTGCTGAGTTTCCACTGTTAACTGCTCCGTTTTCTGTTTTTTTGGTGGTGTATAAAACAGTCGCATGGGAAAATATTATCTCAGGGTTAATTTGGGCAGTCCTTACTCACACAGGTCATAGCATGCGATTCAATGGTCTGTTTATGCCTATGCCAATTGATGAGTATTAGCGTTTAGAGGCTTGACCAGCAGCCTGGAGTCATGTGAAAAAAAAAAAAAAAACCTTTTTTTGAGGCCGGTGGAATAAATGTCCCTGTGGAGGGATGAGGCGCTGCTGTCTGTACTCAGGGGCACCATCCTTGTGCATTTTGGCACTGGTGCAACACGTACCCAAATAGTGATGGTAGGGAGCCTGGGCTGAGAGAGAGCATGGACACTGCATGAGCAGGAGGAGCTGGCAGGCTTTAAAGCTGAGTGCTCTGACAAAGCAGGCACAGAATTACATGGCCATAATTCCTTCAAGGCAATGGTCTTTCCTTTTTTTTTTTTTTTTTTTTTTTTTTTTTTCCCTGATGGCTGAATATACTCCCATGGTTTTTGAGATCACCAGAATGGCTTGATGAGATTATAGGTGTTTATTCTTGGTCGCAAGTTGTTTATGGTATATTTAATTGTTTTGGAAACCTGTATGAAGTAGCC